GTATGGAGTTTCCCGCGCTCACCCTTACAGAATAGGTACGGTCTATAAGATCTTAAAAGTAATTCTGCAGAAAAGAGTCCTCTGACCAAACAAGTTTGGAGAATGGTCCCTAATGCTACTTATTCCCTTTGTGTTGATTCTAAATGTTTATTCCCTACTTAAGACTCTGAGAACAGTTAAAAGATAGATTTGTTAAACGAAATATTTCTCAAAATTATTTGACCACTGTTAGGAAAAGTAAAAAAAAACAAAACAAAAAAAAACCTCAAAATGCCCGAAATAGACACTTGGGTGTCCTTCCAGTTGAAAACGTACCATTCACCATCTCACCTTTTGGCATTATCTGATTTTATAGGGTCTTGGCCATCTATTATCCCAGACCAACTTATTTTACAGATCTGTAAATTGTAGAAAACCAAGAGCAATGCAAACGACGCTCGTTCTTAGAAGTGCAAATGCCTTTATTTTTTTTCTCTCTCTCTCTTCTTTTCCTGGTGGAGTCACAGATGCATCTGTTAGCAGGTTTATTCCAGCACACCAGGTTGCCTCTGTCTGTATCTCTGGATTCCCCTTTGGACTTGCTTTTTACATTCTCCTTGTTCTTTCATTTGATGAGCTAAATAAAATCTCTGGCACGTTTTAATTTTCTATCTGTAGAACAGGCATGGTTTTTCTAAAAATTATCCTTTTATACCCAGAACTTCCCTTTGTTTCTTGTCTGCTATTAATTTCGTCTCTTCGCATACTTTTGCGTCTGGCCCCTGTGGCCTACCAGTCTGCCTCCTGGCTTCAGGCCGGCCATCACCACCCGGTCTGTGCTGATCCAAATCCTTCCATCCCTCCTCTGTGCAGCTGTCCATGGCTATCCTAAACCATTTTATTCCTGCACGGTGGCCTTCTTAGTATACTTCCTAAAACTTTTAATGCATGTTTAACAAAAAAAACAAAAACTGATTCCCAAAGGGAAAGCAGAACTCTTTTTCTTTTTTGGTAGAAGACTCATATGGTTTGTTCTGATCTATGGATTGTTCTCATCAACTTGGCTAAATGGGGACCATAATATATGTGTGTGGCACAAGTGATTTTTAAAGGAAGGGCCCCCAGGGGAGACAGATAAGCACACCAGGGAGACAGAGAATCAGAAAAAAAAACAGGCAAAGGTGAGATCTTGAGCAAAATCTTTCAGAGCCTGCATTAACCCTGATCTCATGGGGGAACTCTTGGACATATGTACACTATGCCCAAAGTTGTCTTGAGTAGGGTAAAGCCGGGGGTCAGTGGCTAGGGGCCCTCTGGGCTAATTGGGCATTTGTCAGTATCTTCTGAAGGAAGTCCTCCCCAAATAAGGTGTAGGTGCTGACTGTTAGAAACCCAATTCATGTAGGAAAGGGGTGTACACAAAAGTCCAATAAGAGTTCAAGAAGGACTAGGATTCAAGATTGTGACCCTTTGCTTCATAAGATCTTTTTTTTTTTTTTTCAATTTTTCCTGGTGCTGGGGATTCAACCCAGGGCCTCACATGTGCTAGGCAAGTGCTCTACCACTGAGCTACATCCCCAGTCCTTTTAAAGAAATTTTTTAAAAAATTATAGTAAAATACAATGATGTAAATTGATCATATTAGCCATTTTAAGTGTACAGTTCATTGACATTAAGTACATTCACATTGTGAAACCATCACCTCTATCCAACTGAGAACTTCATCTCATAAAATGAAAGCTCTGTACCCACTAACACTGACTTCCCATTCTTTCTTCCCCTTAGTCAGCCCCTGGCAACTACCATTTGGTGTCTGTCTCCATGAATGTGGCTAATCTAGGGACCTCATTATACATGAAATTGTTCAGTATTCACGTGTCATTTTAAAGAAAATGCCAATAATCCTTTAAAAAGTATTGCCCAGAGGTGTTTATAGCACAGGAGTGGCCTCTGCAGCTCTCTATTCTTTTTATCAGCCTTAGAGACCCCTTCGTTTCCTGCCACCATTTTCAAATCTGAGATTAAGAGCAGATGCATGAGTACCCTGATTGACCTGGAGCTGTATGACACCCCATCCTGGTGACTAGATCAAAATCACTGTGGTCCCTTTAACACACAGGTTCCAAAGTTCCTCCCAGAGCCACGACACAGAATCTCCCGTACTGGAAGAGAACATGTTCTTTCCAGAAACTTCTTTTCTGTAAGTAGTCAGGAAAGCATTTTCAGAATCACCAACCTTGAGCAGTAGTGTTTGACCTGTTTTGAAGCCTCTGAATCCTTCCCTGAAATGACAATTCTCACAGGACCCCATTTTCCAAAACAGAGGGCAGCAAAGCTGTTCTTGATGATGGGACAAAAATGGCGTGGCCTCAGGCTCAGTTACACCTCACATTCCCTCACCTTCCTTTGCAGTTCCTGCTGTGTCACCTCGTATATATTATGTATGTGTACATACATATATATGTGTGTGTGTGTGTGTGTGTGTGTATAATGTATATGATGTATGAATATATTAACATATAATGTATATATTAACATATAATTAACATATCAATTATGTATATATTAACATATAATATATTAACATAATTAATATATAAATTATATTTATTAACATATATTAACAATGTATATATTAACAAATAATTAATAAACCATAATATATTAATTATATATTAAAGAGTAATATATATTATATAATGCATATAATATGTATACATTAATATACAATAAGCATACACACACACACATATCTTCTTTTCTAGAAGCTCTATGTAGACTTATTTTCTCTACCCACATGTGGCAGGTGGAGAAATGCCCCTTGGAAGGCATCCATACCAAGTTCCTGGAACCTCTGAATGTGGCCTTGTACCCATAGTTCTTTGCCAGTATGGTTAAGGTAAATATTTTGAAATGAGGTGAAACCAACTGGTTTACTCTTGTTGGTTCTGGATGCCAGCATATGTGACATACAAGAGAGAGTCAGAGGGAAGTTGAGGCAGAAGAGGAGAGAGACACAGAGGATAAGGCAGGGATTGGAGGGACAGGGGACAGACACAAGGAGCCGGAGGAGACAAGGAACGGATCCATCCCCACGGGCCCCAGGGACAGTGTGATCCTGCCAAAATTGGTACTTGTAGCCTCGAGAACTGTGAGAGAAAAACTTTGTCATTTTAATCCCTCAAGCTATTTCATAATTTGTTACAGCCGCTATAGGAAACAAATACAGCATGTAATTTAAAAATAATTTTCCAAGGTATTAGAAAATTTTTGTTGCTACTCTCTATAAAAACAATTATTCCTTATTGTCATCAACTTCCTCTGGGAAGAAAATAGACCCGATACAAGCATTTAGGGAAACCAACCAAATAGAATCAGAAAACTTCCTCGGTCTTTCCTCCTTAGGGGAAATAGAGACTATCATTTCAGCTAGTTTAATTTTCAATCGCTTCTCTATCAACTTAGGCTTTGGAGGAACTCTTAGAAAAATTTTAGGTAGTTTCAGAGTACACACCCTTTTCTACTCAGATCCCCCCCCCCCCCGTAAGGACTATATTTTATTTTTGTGTTGTTAATCCATTTATATAAATCTCAGTCCTGGAGAGATGGAAATGCAAATGGCTTGGAAAAAGAGGACTTTGTCTGCAGCGAGAGAGATAATGTACCCTTTTATTTTGTGGAAATTAGGCTACACTATTTCCAAACCCACATAACATAAATATTTAAGCAAATGGCACTTTATGCAAATCAATAAATGCAAAGGAAACAGCATCTGCAGAAAAAACAAATGCACTGCTATAGAGGTCGCAAGACCACTTCTACTCAGTCTTATACTCAGAATGATGGATAGGATGGGCATTGGGCTGTGAGGCTCAAAGAATAATCTCCAACAAGGACATATGTGAAGTCCCCATAACTCCTAGTGTTGGGGTAGCACTTTACAGTTTACAAAGTGCTTTTGTATCCATTATCTCTTATGTCACCTTAGAAAGTAGAAAAAAATAGGAGTTATCAGTTATAGTTGAAATGTTTTTCCTCCCGATTTCATGTGCTGATGTCCCAACTCCCAGTATTGCAGAATGTGACCGTATTTGTAAAAAAGATAGTCACATTGTAAGTGTAACTATTTAAGATGAGGTCATATTAGAATAATGTTGGCCTCTAACATTGTTGTTCTTATAAAATGGAAATTTGCATGCAGACACACACAGAGAGAAGATGGGATAAAGTCAAGGTAAACCTTAGGCTACCTGAAGGTAGGAGAGACTTCCGGGACATATCCTTCCATCGCTATCCTCAGAAAAAAAACAAACTCTGTCAACATAACTGGGATGGGATAAATGGTGTCATTTACGCCACCTATGCTGGGCCACCTTGTTATAGCAGCCCTCGAAGACTCATACAGTGCAGTTTAGGAAGTGGTTTCCTATCAACAGACTATTGCCAAAGCACAAAGAAGATCCAGGGCTGAAACCTGGATTTTCTTATTCCCAGTTAAATATGTGGTGTCCCCGGAAGCTCATGTGTGAGACAATGCAATAAGGTTTAGAGGAGAAATGATTGGGTTATGAGAGCCTTAACCCATTTGGTGAATTAATGCCCTGATAGGGATTCACTCAGTAGTGATGGTAGGCAGGCAGAGTCTGGCAGGAGAAGGTGGGGCATTCAGGGCATGCCTTTGGGGGTAAATCTTTTGTGAGCTGAACTTAGTCTCTCTCTGCTTCCTGGTGACCTGCTCCCAGTTACTTTCTGCTGTCACACTCTTGTTCCATCATGCTGTGCCTCATCTCAGGCCCAGAGGCATGGAGCTGGCTGTCTGTGGACTGAGACCTTTGAAATCATGAGTCCCTCTGGAAACATTTCCTCCTCTAAAATAGTTCTTGTTGAGTGTTTTTTGGTCACAGTGGGAGAGAGCTGATTAAAACACCAGTAGAGTGATGTGGGAATTTTAGGTTCTTTTGGGTCTAGGTATCAGAGCTGGGTCAGAATGAATGAGCTACCATTTGTGCCTACAGGGTCTTCTGAGCTTGATGAGAAGCTCAAAAGGATCAATCGATGAACAGCCACGTGGGAAGAGAAAACTGTACCCAAACAGCCATGAATCTTGCCTTACGTAAGCAGGTAAGTTGTGGGGTTGGCAGGGATTTGCCAGGTAATGCAAATAGCCCTTAGTTTAAAGGTCAGAAAGCTGAGGTTAATGCCTCAGAAGGGAGTCAAAGAATTGATGAACTAAAACCAAGTCCATCGCTCCAAGACTTCATCAAGAATACGTCACAGCCCTGTCATCCAGGCATGGGGATCTCATGGGGACAGACTATTTCCTGGGACTGATGGGAGCATATTCCTAGAAGTAGGAGGTTCTCCCAAGGATCATATCAAATTATTTCTGTTCATGACTCTTTTCCATTTGGTGCTTATTTTCATAAGGGAAGAGAATAGGAAAATAGTGGGTCACAAAGAAGAATGTAGCCATTGGACATTCTCTGGTATGGGAAGATTGATTGTCTATCTATCTGTCTATCTACCTGTCTGTCTATCTATCTGTCTATCACCTGTCAGTCTATCTATGTTTGCTAGAAAATATATTTGAAGGTCTACTGCTTCCTGACAGTGTATGATAATGAAATGTCTGTCCCAATGGGAAGCATGTGACACAAGTTCTTTGGATTTCAGGGAAGAGAAACTCAATCGGGCTACCTTAAGGATCCAGGGGTTTATAGATTGATTCACAGAGAAGACAAGAGTATTGGTCATACACATGCTCCTCTCAGAGGCTTGGCTATGCTTTGAAAATAGGTGGGACTATTACCTTGTATTTACCTGGATGTCCCACTGCCCCTCAACCAAGTCCTCCAATTTCCCCTCATAATCTTGGCTTTCCTTTCTCTCTGCTTCCATGATTTTACTTCAAACAGAGCCTGCAGGAAACAAAACCTGCTAGTGATAGTGATATTGTGGCCAGGGAATATTTTGAGGCAGGATAACAAGCATCTCCCCAAGGAAAGGAATGGGGAGGTCGATGTCCAGCCAACTTGCTCTTTGAATAAACACTAAAAGATTTTTTTCCAAGAATGGGAGAACACAAAAGTGGGCAAGCTGAAGATTTAGATTTAGTTCATGTTTTTAAGAAGTTAACATGGGTAGGTACAGGATGTTTTTTACCCATATTGTTTACTTTTAAAGCTGAAAGCAGAATTCCTCTTCAAAAGAGAATTGCTTCTGTTTAAAGAAAGCCCTCCCTGCACTCCAATTTTAATGGGTGAAAGCCAGAAATGGAAAGTTCTGAGGCTCTGTGGAATGAAGCTGGTGAAGTTGAATTTCCAAACATAGCCTAAGAAGGAGGGGTTGTAACATCGTGCATGGAACACTGCCGCACCTATCCCGCACCTATCATCACATCACAAAATAGAAGTGTTTCCCGGGGGCGATGGCTCCTTTCTGTAATCCCAGCAGCTCAGGAGGCTGAGGCAGGAGGATCACCAGTTTGAGAGCAGCCTCAGTGATTTAGTGAGGCCCTGAACAACTTAGTGAGACTCTGTCTCAAAATAAAAAAATCAAAAGGGCTGGAGACGTGGCTCAATGGTAAAGTATCCCTGGGTTCAATACCCACTACTAAAAAGAAAAAAAGGAAGAAAGAAAGTTTATCATTTAGATATGAGGCATATCTAAAAAAATAAAAATATAAAAAATAAAAATATCTCCAAAAGCTCATGGGCTCATGTGTGAAACAAGAAAGAAAGTTTAGAGGTGAAATGATAGGGTTATGAGAACCTTAACCTAATCGGTACATTAATCCACTGATATGGATTAACTGGGTGGTACCTGTAGGCAGGTGGGGTGTGGCTGGAGGAGAGAGGTGACTGGGCACAAGCGTTTTGTCCTTGGTAAGAGGAGCTCTCTCTGCTTCCTGGTCGCCATGTCCCGAGCAGCGTCCGTCCGTCTGCCATGATGTTTCTTGGGCCCGGAGCTAAGGAGTCAGCCAACTATGGACTGAGCCTCTGGAACAATGAGCCAAATAGATTTTCCTTCTCTAATTGTTCTCGCCTGGTCTTTTGGACACAGACATAAAAAAAAAAAAAAAACAGAGTTAAAACTGGTAAACTATATGGTGAGGTTAGTAACCTGCACAGGATCACACAGCTAACGAGTACCAGAAATGAGATTTGAATGCATTCTGTCTAAGAATAAAATTTGCACTAGTGGGCTGGGGATATGGCTCAAGCAGTAGCGTGCTCACCTGGCTTGCGTGCGGCCCGGGTTCGATCCTCAGTACCACATACCAACAAAGATGTTGTGTCCCCCGAGAACTAAAAGATAAATATTAAAAAAATTCTTTCTCTCTCTCCTCTCTCACTCTCTCTTTAAAAAAAAAAAAAATTTGCACTGGTAACCATTAGGCTATACCACTTAAAAACATTTCTCTGTTCATTTCTCTGTTCATAACCATTAGGCTATACCACTTAAAAACATTTCTCTGTTCTAATGCAATCAATGTGTGTGTGTGTGTGTGTGTGTGTGTGTGTGTGTGTGTGTGTGTATGTGTGTGTGTGTGCGTTGCTGGGGATTGAAACCAGGGCCTTATGCATGTGAGACAACTACTCTACCAATATACTGAGCTGTGTCTCCAGCCCTGCAATCAATTTTGAATGTCTCCAGGTACATTTCTGCTTGGCCTAAAGAATACATCTCTCCTTTCATGTTTATGAGTGGTTAGTCAGGTTTGTTGAAATGTGGCCTGCACCGTGTTCTGGTCGATAGTCATCGTGAGGCAGATGAGGGTGTCTGCTTCCTCCCCAAAGAGTGGGTGTAACAGCAGCCACAGGAGGGCAAAAATATGACATCTCAACAGTGCTGCATCCAGACAGGCTTAGGTTTTTTGGCTTTGACTTAACTATGTCATATTTTATGACCAAGGCTGAAAGTCGTGCTGCGTTTGAGATAATGCAGTAAGCTGGAGCACTTCAGTGATATGCAAGGAAATTATTTACCAACACTGCATAGAAAATGGACTCTGTTTAGAAAAATGTGGCACACGTATCTTCAATTTGGCCTGGCCAGCCCGTTGCTTAGGTTGACTTCTTAGCTAACTTTAAGCTTCTTGACAGACTTATATCCCTTGGGTCATTGGTAGGGAGGGATTGAATGTCAAATTCCATTTGTGGTGGAGACCGTGTGTTGGGCTCAAAAACTGACAAAAATAGTTTTTAATTTGCTTCCCCTGTAAGCGGATTATATAGAATTTGATTTTCACGTTCTGAGGATTTTGCTTCTAACCCAGGCACTGTGACTAGAACTGTTGGCGGGGAAGGGAGGTGCTCCTGTAAGGCAAAGCCAAAGAACCATGTTTCCTTTCAATTGGAGAGCAACAGAAGGAGGGAGAGCACTTTCTGCAGACACACTTTAAGTCCTGGAAAAAAAAAAAAAAAAACCAGGAGTTATTACACAGCTACCTGACTTTGAAAACAGACGGGTCCTGTGGGGTGTTTATTTCTTTCAAAACCACAAGATGAATTGGTAGTGCTTGTCCTGGGATCCAGGAAACAAATAGACCATTTCCGAATGCTTTTGCAATGAATATAGCTAAAGTGTCTTAAAAAGCCAGAGTAGTCAAAATAAACGCAATTATTTTTTTAAAACAAGTCATCTTTTCAGGAGAAGTAGTCTGGAAATGGAAGCTGGAGCAAAACAGACTGTGTGCGTGTTGGGGTGTCAGTCTTCAAAAGCTGCTGTTCTCTGACAGTGTTTGCTTAAATTCTTCAGAGGATTCCTCACTGTGTGTGTGTGTGTGTGTGTGTGTGTGTGTGTGTGTGTGTGCATCAGATGAAGGGGGAGAATAAAATCTAGCCAAGCATTGTACAATCAAATACGGAGTCTATAGCGTGCTTGGGATTCTCATGATGAAAACCATTGGTTTCCCTCAGTTCCTAGAAGAGTTTTGGAACTCGTGTGCTATTCCCAGCTCCAAGCAAATGCACGCATTTTTATTTATTTATTATTTTCATAAAGACCATTTGGTTCCACTTAGCTGCAGGATGTGTTAATATCATTTTAAAAGTATGCAGAATTAATCACATTTAAAAATCTCTCAGAAGCTTTTACATTTTCCATTTTCTTTGTATTTTTTTAAAAGGAAATATACTCGGGCAGGCTGGATAAGAGGAAGGAAAGAAAGCAAAGAACAAATCCAACTCATGGGTCCACGGAGTAGCCTGAGAGCACTGAGTGCTCTTTTCCCCTCTTGGTAAATGACCTGCGTGGCACACAGTTCTGTCCTTGGAACATGGTGGCTGGTCATTAAATGTTTGTCTTTCTTTGAGACTGTAGGGAGAAGCAACCTGCAAATGGAGTGGTCATGACCATAACATTAACTACTATTTATATACAGTCTTTTGGAAACTACAAGGCAAATACCACACACCCTAGTGGGAATTTGTCACTTAAAGTGTGACCACAGATGGGGGTGGGTGTGGAGGTGGACACGCAGGAGAGGGAGGTTGGTCCTCACAGACCATAACTCCTTGTTTATTATTTTATCTCAGTCATTTTTTTTCTACTATCACGTCTTAACTTTTTTGGGGGGGTGGTGTACAGAATGATGATTTAATACATTATTCAATGGGTTTTGATCAAATCAGGGTAAAATTTTCATTGCCTCATATATTTATTATTTATTTTGTTGTAAAATTTGAACTCTTCTAGTTCCTTACAAAATACATAATAAATTATTGGGAACTATCATAATCCCTCTTCCACAAAATACTAACACTTGTTCCTCCTCCTTCTCTGAATTTCAATACTCACTCTCCTGTCTCCCTCCACTCCTTTGCGGTCCTTCCCTTCCTAGCCTCTGATGGACAATACTTTTCTAAACATCAACTTTTTTAACTTCTAAGTTTAAAGGAGAACTTGAAGAATCTGTATATCTGTGCCTAGATGATATCACCAACATAACGTCCTCCGGGTTAAAGGAGCCAAAAGGCTTCACATGCATGCCCCGAGAGTGATCTCTGAGGAATCTAAGCTGACCCTAAGGGTAAATAAGAACAAAGTCAGTTCTGACCAACTTGGTCTTAACCACCTGGCAGGAGAGTATGACCAAAGCACAGTCATGCATGGATATTTAAAGGGAACGGACAATGTGGCATGTTTTTTTTTTTTTTAAATGTGACTTAAGATGTACACTGTGTCAGCCCTACCAAAAATAAGTGGAGCTGGAGGCTATAAAGAAGGGTCCTTGTGTGGGAGTGCCTCATAATATAGCTATCACAAACGTCTCTAGAGTCACAAGTTTGTCCTCAGTCTATTGGAGTCTGACCTCAGAGGCCTATGATCTTCCGAACTGCCCGTGTAGATAAACTCCGTCTGTTTTTCACTGATACAATTATGAGCGACCACCTTCACCGTTTTCAGAGACTGGCTGAAATACCAATTGGGTTTGTGCTAATTGTTTACCAAAAAAAAAAGTCATGCTGTACTATCTTGTTTAGTGTCATCTTAATATGTGACACTAAACAAGATAGAACTTGTGTGCCTTGTCCAGTCACCTGCCATCGGCCACTGTACACCTCTGGACTGCTCTGATGATGAATGCCCTTAACTGTCCATACCCCAGCAGGAAGCAGCTTGGAGATGTCATCCTCCATTTTTCCGTAGAATAGAATGTAGGAATTGACAGTGACAACTTTATGCTTTGAATACAGCCCTTGCTGCTCTGCCTCTGCAATTTATTTTTATTTATTCATTTTTTTTAAAAAAAGGTTTATTTATTTCTGCTATCAAAGAACAGAATTATGACAATGTGATTTAACAATCCTAATTGGCTTCGTTTTTAATTTTAAAATCAGGGAATACTTCAATCCATAAAGCAGAATCAGTTTTCCTATGAGCCAAGCACTCGTCAAAAATAATTTGATGAGTTAACATCAGATTATTTATTTTTCTTACACAAAATAAGGACAAGGGAACCTCACTATTTCGCCAGTTGGGAATGGCTCTTCTCCCTCCAATCCAGATTTCTCTTGGAGGACCAGATGTGTCAGCTGGTTTGATTCACTCCATGATGTTGTCCCCCACCCTGCCCTGGAATATTGTCCCTGTTGAAGAACTGGCTTCACAAAGAAGGTGGCAGCAGGAAAATTTCAGAATCCTAAAGCTTAAAAATAAGTCTTGGGCAGTGTGGGGTTATTTTCTGACTCTGGGGGGATCATCCGGTGTCCAAGACCTGGGGACAGAGGCAAAGTCCCCAGCCGCTCATCCAGGAGATGTCACCCTCAGTAGCGTCTGGTGTCCTGACCTGTGCTCGCCCAGGATGATGGTGGGTAAGGAGCAGCAGGTCACAGGGGCCCCCTGACACTCTGGGAGACAGAGCTCTCCCTGGGCAGACCCTGGGACTGAGGGTCAGTGGCCAGGGGAGGATCAACGACTGTCCACGCCTGTGGTCCCTGAGGTCCTGGGGCAGGGATGCAGGAGGCAGCCAGTGTCACAAGACATCCCTGTCCCCAGCCAGGCTGGGCACCTGGCTAAGCGAGGAGAAAGATGGTGTCCCTCCTCAGGGCCTGGCCCCTGCACCTGGTCTCACTTCCTCCCCGGCACCGCCTGGAAGGGGAGGAAGTGACACCC